TTTGGTTTTAATGTTCAATCCAAGCATTCTATCCTTGTAAATTTGTTCAATTATTGTTTGAACCAGATTCTTTTGTTGTGCAGAATGCTAAGGGATCTATGAGGCCCCTTCAAAATTTCTCAAGGACAGAATGTGCGGAATGCTTGGATTAAATATCCAGAAGAGAGGAATTCAGAGGAGTCCCCATGGATTCCATTCATAAGGGCTGGCAGGCTGTGGTAGATTATGCACCACAAAGACAGGTGATTCGAGCTTGGGTGGCCTGAAAGTTCACAGAGAAATAAACTTTGATGGATGTGCCACTGGTAATGCAAGTACTATGGTATAGGTGTCTTTTGGGGTTGCATGAGCTCCACTTAGATGAGCTTATCTTACACTGTTGGTCCCAAGTTCAATCCCAATAAAGGAGGAGGGTTGTATCAGGTTGGTAGCAGATGTTAAAACTTTGGAATAAGTAGACTGCACTCCACCTCAGAAATCTGAAATTACAGCCCCCTTCTAATCTACTAGTAGCCCCCCTATAAACCGCATCCTGACTGTGGATTTGACACCGATCCACTGTCAGGATTCATCCTACCTGTACGGTGGGGCTAAGATTTGTTGGGATGGACTAAACAATAAAAACCCCTAAAACTTTTGCCAAACTCTCATCAATATGGGTCCTGATTTGTCTTGAACAGACTGATGGAGCAGGACTCATGTGGCCAATCCCATAGAGCTGGGATAAGGCTTGGATGATGACAATGATGACATAGATGAATTATTCCAGTCCCACAGGAGAAAGAAACTCCCTAAGAAACTGTTCTCTCTACCACAAAGGGTAAAATGGTATATTCCACAGATTGGAGTTGTAGGAGATTGCCAAAGTGGCAAGTGACTGGATGGACCTATGGAGGCAAAAACATATAGACCTTGAACTCTTAGGCTGTGTTTGGGAACAATGCAAATGGAGTGTAAATCTCAGTTCAGGGTAAATTTGCACTCTGGTTCACTTTTGCTTGTGTTTGGCAACATTACATTTATGTATTGAGAAATGACAGAAAACACAATTTTCAATGCATATTTACATTGATAATAAGATGTAAATGTATTTCAATAAAAAAGAAGTAAATTTGCATTCAAGTGGGCTTTTGATAAAAAAGGCTTATGCTTTATTGGAATTCGTGTTTGCATCCATTACAGCTAAAATTCTGTTTGGTAAGAAGGTAATTTTGTCAGTGCAAAACTAACCCAACTTTACAATTTATATGGACCGTTTTACACTCTACATATTTGCATTCACACTTATTTGCATCGTTTCCAAACACAGCCTTAGTCTCTTAGGTTGTGTTTGGTTGCAGCGCATTATATTTGCACTAGTACAAATGTATGGGAGTGCAAATAAAAAAATGCAAATTAATTTTGTTTTGGATTTTACTCTATTCTTCTTTAGGTCTTATTTTATTTCATTTGTACTGCAACCAAACAAAGTAAGGTAAAATTTGAAACAAAAATAAATAAAAAATTTACACCCAAAACATTTGCACTGCCATAGTTTTGCATCAGTGCAAATAAATTTGCACTGCAACAAAACACAGCCTTGGGCATTTCGTAAGAGATGCAAAAACTTGACATCCAGATTGAACAGCTTGTCCAAGTGGAATTAGGATCTGCTCCTCACACCAACCTCACAGACATCCCACCATGTATTGGGATTTGGAAACAACTCCTATGAATAATAACATACAAAGTAGGGGAGATGTTCTTGATACGAGACTGGTACATGCTGTGAGGTCCGTGTAAGGGTGGGCTTGGAAGAGCTGAGATAAAGTGAGAGCCCTGGGTTTATAAGTTTCAGCTGTGAGGTCATTTGTATTCTATGATTTTAAGGGGTGTTGTTCTTTTCATGATTCAAAAAAGGGTAGTTGTGCCTGAGAACCATACTACTTTATTTTTAAAATGAAAATATTAATCTTGAACCATCATAGGCGTTCTGCCATGTGTGGTTGTGGTCGTCTTTTAAATCACACATTTGTGGTTCTTTTTTTGGACTCAACACATTGTCAGCTTTTCTGCTCCTCTGCTTTTCTGTGATCCACATGTATAAAAGCAACTCATCCACCACCATTCAACTTTGACCGTATGGTTATATATATATAAAAGAATATGGCCAAACACAAAATCACTTGGCTGTGTCAGCCTTTTTTGAATCATATGGTTGTGTTCAAATGGGGATTTTGCTGGTTCTGGAACTACAGTTTATCAAGAACAAAATGAAAATGCCTTCCAGAACATCAGTTGTGTTTTGTTTTGGTATTTGGTGCTATGTATCATTAATAATTTTTTTCTGTCCAAAGTGCTGATTGCGGGATTTGATTCTGCGTCAAAGGTGGAACAAACCAGTTAACACACCAACGAACCAGCCCTCGATTGGTCCAGTTGTGTTTGTGAACTAGATAAAACATGAGCACAAGCTGCACAATCACAAAAAGAACACCCCCTAAGGCCCTAAGTCTGTGATTGTATGATTATATGGTGTTAGCTATGCATTGTCCTGTTTACCACACTCTAGTGTAGGGGTTATTATATCTGTTATATTTTTCTCTCATTAATGATACTCTTTTGATCATTGTCACTAATAAAAGAAAAGGTAAAAACTAAGAAAAAAAATGTTAAAGCATTATGATTCCATTTTTACCCGAGGTTCATGTTTTCACTGTTTTGATGGAAAGGACTGATACCACATTCATTCCTATGCCTATATTGGGAGGAAGGAATATCATAAAAGACCATCACAACATTGGTAAGAAGAAGCAACCCTGTGAAATTGAAGAGGTTAGAGGGGCTAGGGGCATACTAAAAAAGACATGAGTTGAAGTAGTAAGAAACAATTTAAGGTCCTGTTTGGTTCATAGGAATAGAGGTCTGGAATTGGATATCAGAATGGGTCGTTCCAAACTTCCAATTTCAACTGTTTGGTTGGACGGAATTGGAATCTCATCCCCATTCCTGGTTGAATGGCATTCTCCATTTGAGGGAATGGTCATCCATCCCCCCTCCCTTGGGAATGAAATCCCATTTCAGCTGATTCCAACTCCTATCTGAATCAAACAGGTTATGCAAAAAGACCATTCCGATTCTGATTCTGATTCTAACTGTGAACCAAATGCACCCCAAGTGTGAAGGGGTGGGGAGGAATCAAATGTTTTGGGCAATATAATGCTATTTGGAGATAAGATGATTTATCTCCAAGTACAATTTGTACATTGTAATCACTTATTTCAATTCTATTGATGAAAGTTACAGTTATCAATTAAGAAAAACTAGCAATGGATATGTAACCAACCCCATATAGTTGGGACAAGGTATAGATGATTATGATCCTATGCTTATCTTTTAAGATCATTTGTGTCGCTACTTCTTTCGAGATCCTTCTCATCATTGTCCTCGCATGTGGTGGTAGTCTTGACTCAAGTACTTGAATCTGCAATCAGCATAAGAATTGTAGCTACCGTAGCCAATGAATCTTCCAATTCTGGTCTTAGAGACTGCTCAAGCATAAGTTCTCTTCGAATAGATCAAATTTGTCAAGGAAAAAGGAGGAAAGTCTGAGAAGCCTTTACCTAAAAGTAGACATGTTCATGGGCTAGGTTTTGGGCTCAGCCATGAACATTTTACACTGTTTTGGGCTCAAGCTTCAGGCTGGGCTCATTCAAATTTTGGCAAAAGCTAAGTTGGAGCTCGGCCATGAACAGGTCTACCCAAACGATGAGACCCCATCAAGAATAAGCATGGAAATCTATTTGATGATATCTGGACCATCTTGACCATCTGCCAAGACATTGGCTTTACCATGAAAACTAGGAAAACAACAACTTCAGTCATCTCTACGACATAACAAAGAATTCTCCACAAGTAGGGGTGCAATTTGGGCGGGCTCAGGTTGCTCTTTTGCCAAAATCTGAATGGACCCTGCCCAAACCAGTGTAAAAGCTCAGGCCAAGCCAAGTGTACCCCAATTGACCACAAGTTATGAAAATGGGATTTCAATCCCACCCAACCAAACAGTTTGAATCAGAACGACCCACTCCAGATCCCTATTCCAGTGAACCAAACGGGCCCTAAATTCCAAACGGTGGACCAGCAGTTCCAATTACATTCATAAGAATCCATTTGCTGCCTGCAGTAAATCGGAAGATAGCACCTGAAGAATTGAAGATATAATCCAGTTTCCATGATAATGATACTGCTACATAGTATAAGTGGCTTATCTTTTATAGATAAAGGATCAGTTCATAGCAAACCAGAACATCTTTGGTGCATATCAAGGCAGCTGCAAGTTCGTTTCTTTGGTATATCCGAAAGATACCTAGGTTCCTCTTCGTTCTATCCCACTTTACCAGCCAAAACAAGAGCAAATTAAAAATTAAATAAAAAAAGTCCTATATATAGAAAACAAGAAATAGAAGGAATCCTAACTCTTAAAGGTATAAACATCCTTGTATGCATTTTCAGTTGCACGATTCAGCTGGTTTGTCTAGAACCAACATTGCAGGTCAAGAAATAGCCCATATTATTGATGAATAATTGAATATGTTACCTCCATATAAATGGGGAAACTTGGCTCCTTCGATCTCTTAAATGTGCATTTCAGAGTTAGAAGCACTTAGGCACACAAATGTCGCACGTGCAACACATGTGGCACATCACTAGGGGAAAAAAAAAACAGAAAAATGGTAGAACTTGCAGTTGTTTAGAGCTCTAAGCCAAATATACTGCAAATTTGTTCTCGTTTTCTGCATGCAAGTCCCCGGCAAACAAACAGAACAAGATGGTCTGAACTCTGAATTGAACAAATCTCCTATATCTCAAGAAGAGTATGTAAAACATAATGTAGATCAATCCACTGGCTTGCCACATATGACATACTGTCTTCTACTGGTATGAAGATACAAGCATGAGAACCAGCAGGTCCTGCACTGGCTAAGATATTAGATATCTCCTAGATCAAGTTCTCATAGTAGTACTAGAAAATCATTTATTGCATCAGGGAAACATCTTAAGATATCCATATAACAGAAAATTCGATAGGTAACAAAGTTTAATAAAAAACTATCTAAGAAACAGGACTAGCACAAGACAACTGAAGACCACTCTGCCATAAAGAAGCAAAACTAATTTATCACACTTCCTGGTAGTTGCGGTCTCAAGGGAGCACAGTGAATACTTTTACATCTTCCATGCCCGGGCTTCTAACTGAATATTGAAATGTCCATCCATGGCAAGCGCCCGCGTGCAAACCATTCTTATCAACAGCAAAAATGGCTCCAGTAAAATCTGGATACTTTCGTGCAATCCGTGATATTGCATCCTCAGCAGCAACCTTGGGTTCCATTCCTAATCTCATACTTTCCACAACTTGATAACTGAAATCAAATACGTACTTACTAAGATTCAATTAAAAAGGACAAAAAGACTGAGACAAACAATTTGACCATTCTCCTCTTTTTGGTGGGAGCGCATGTCAAGAAATTTGTGTGCAAAATGAAGCAAGAAAAAGAGAAGAGGGTCTAATCTAAACTAGCAGGATATGAGCTAAATCAGCAAAAACCAGTCTACTTCAATCAATTTGGTTTTCAAATACTCAATAATAGGCAAAAAATAACCATTTCATGAATTCATGTTTGGGCAAAGAAGAATACTTTACAAAGTTCAAGTTAATTACCATGGGAGGAAGCGCATCATAACATCACCATCCCCTGTTGCACCACATGCCCCAACTTCATCGTCAGCATATGCGGAAGACCCTGGTATAGGCCCATCCCCTACCCTAGAATCAAGCAAGAGATATCATTCAGTCAATCATAAAACAAGAATATCCAAATCTGCAGATAACAGGCAATTCAACAGTTTGGTCTTATTCCACAAAACCAAGTCTATAATCCAGTAAAACAGTTTCTTTTTTTTTCCTTTACTATTTTCTTCATATCCTTCCCCAGAAAAACAAGTTCATCTCGGAAGAGGATCCATAAACAATCAGATTCTATGGAAGCCAAGTACATGATGAGAAATTAATATTTACAAGGTAATGTAATAGACAATCAATCTCCTACTACAAGTACTGTTGGTGGTAAAAGTAACAAAAGCAACAATTTTAGTAGTGATAATAATTCTAAAAGTACCTACTATGGTTATACTGTACTTGTATATTGTCAGGAGCATCCCATGGTTTATAATTTCTCTGAAATTTCATGTCAAGGTCAACAAATTTCAGAATTAAATTTCATCTACTTTATTAAAATTTTCAGTCAAAAGTAGAAAGATATAAAATACATATGAATATTTTAATTTTAGAAATTGTTCAGAAGATTTTTAAAATATCAAAGACAACAAAAAGTACAATATACGTATAAAAGAAATATGATTAAATAATCCATTGGTGTATTAAATAAAGCATCTAGAGAGATAATCTTGAGATCTTGGCAAACGATCCAAAAAATCAGAAAACTTCATTTTGTTCAGCCTCAACAACACTGTTTTAAAAACTGGACCGGACATCAAACTGTTACAGGGATAGGCTAGGTAGCACCCTATCCAACCTCAGATCAAACCAAGTTGATTTGGTACATTCTACTGTATACTATAAATGTTCATTACTCACATCCCTCGTTATATATCTTCTCTTAACAAGCCTTTGTGCCTTTTGCTTTTAGACATCCTTTGCATCCTTAGAGCACTCTTCCACATTCTACCACAAGGATTCAAGGTTATTACAAGCTCAGTGTATATGACCAAGATAAAAGCTTGGTGCAAATCTCTTTATCTGACAATTCCAGTGATACATCAGGAAACAAGATAAAGCTCAGAGAAACCATAGAAAAAAGATGTAAACTGTTATGGGCACACCATCCGGCAGCGCACTGCGGAGCAGTCATGGGCAGCAGCACGCACGGCAGGCCGCACAGCAGCAGGCACCGC